GGGCTGCAAAACTTCATTTTCAAAATTTTTATAAAAAAGTCTGAATAGAAAGTTGCGAATTTTTATGCAAATTTATGGCATTTTCCCGAGCTTTGAACAAAGTTTAGAAATTTTATTTTTATGTTTTTTTATGTATTTAGTATAAACTGTATTTTTATAAGGAACAAAAAAGGTACATGCATTGTGAAAAATTCTCTGTGCTTTAGTTGTGATAAATTGTTTTGTTTTGCTGGTGTACGTTGTAATGAGATCATGATCTCATGTTTTTATGTTTTTTTTTTGTTTGTCAAAATAAAATTTTACTACATCCCTTCGTACGTAATTTTTGTCGAAACGAAAGGAAAGGGAGCGTGAGGCCTTTCCCACCCTCAAGTGTCCCGGTTTGGCAACAGAGATATCTGGCAGCGCTAACGGTGTAGCATACAATACTGATGGATCGTGATCCATATCGCAAAATTTCTAAAAATTTTGAAATCTGGATCGCGGATCGCAATACCGTCAATAAATATTGAACGTGTAGCACTAAAAAAAACGCGATCCATACATTTCATCAGTACATCTTTTACTCTAATAATGCGAACGTCAAAAAGATATTCTCTGCCTTCGCTCTCGGTGCTTAAAACCTTTCAAGTCAAATTGAAAAAATTTTAATTAACATTGGAAATTTTAAAATAATTGTGGAATGCATTATCTGTAAATTTTACGTAGAAAATAAAAATATATTCTTGCGTCATAATAAGCGATCAGCAGAAAAATTATGCGAATAATGACGCGATAAATATTGAACATGTAGCATTCGTGCGCGATCCATCAATCCATCAATATGGATCGCGATCCAAATGTCGTGATAATTACGGACCGTGTGATAGAGCCCTTTGAGTCATATGTATATACACTGAGCCAAAAGGAAAATGGGTTTTTCAATCGAGTTATTGTTTGGTTTTTTCATGGTCAGTTTACCGATTGTAAGAAATGTGATTCAAATTGAACATTTGAAAACCAATTTGTATGTCTGCCTCTGCTTGCTGTCAGCGGCAACACACAATTTTTTCTGTTTTTTGTTTTTTTTTTCTAACGAAAAAGCATCTGTGAAGTGTTGAACCAAATTAAACGACGAAGAAAATTAACTCAAGTTGAATATTTAAAGACAAATTTATAAAGCGGCTGTAGCTGAGTGTGTAGAGATGCTTGCTGTTAATTGCTAATACCGTCAGAGGCCACGTGTTAAAATAAGTATAAAAAATTTAGTTTTGTATCTTCGAATTATGAAAAAGCATCTGTGAAGTGCTGAGCATACGCCTGTTGAAACGAAAAAATCACCAACCAAAAGTTTGGTTAATGTAAACAAAATTGTGGTTAATATTACCAAATCATTGTTGAAAATTTCAACCAAGGCATTGTTAATATGAACCAAAAACAACGTTGATTCTTTTTCAAGTTTGAATTCGGTAATATAAACCAATTTTTGGTTAATTTTTCTCTCTGTGTAGAGGAAATGAAAAAAGGAGGTTTGAACAGCAGTGCGGTGTATTTGGGCTCTGTAGCGACCCGGTATATGCAAGTCGATTTTTTTGTTCAGAGGCTTATGCTTAAATTAGTCAAGAACGCAGAACGTATACTTAAACGTAATCTGTATACGCAGAATTTTGTCGATTACTGGAGCCCTCAGTGTTGCTTACTACAGTGTTGCCACTCATCAATGCCTTTTCATAAACTTGCCTTTTCAACTAGAATTTTTCGTGCTATAGACTATAGTAGAGCGTAGCTATATATAAACTACTTAGTTTTCATTAAAACCGTTTCTCAATAGTAAATTTCAAATATTTTAAACGTATTTTGTATAGGAACTTATAACTTTTTTACCATCTGCAAAACTGGCGAAATGGCAACCATCTATAGAAAAAAAATACATGGAATAATCTAAATTCCGCAGATTTCTGCGCTAAGGGCTACAACTACAGAAAAATTCTGCGGTGTTGAGTTTTCATTTACATGGCGCTTTGGTAAGACAGATCGTGTCAGCTGACTCGGGTTTACGCACCGGTAGGTTTACGTTCTTGACTAATTTCAGCTTAAGATCCCGTTCAAAAGACAAGAGCGTAAAGCGTGTTTTTATGAAAAGTATATGTTTAAACGCGTTCATTGCGAAAATACTTATGTTTTGGTTTTGTTTCACAAATTTTTGTTATATCCTTTTTTATACACGTACGTATTCACAGATTGAATGAAAATGTATTTATATACGTATGTTTGTAAATGTATCTATTATATGAGGCCTTGAGCGCCAGGGTAGCTTAACAGTCATATCAAAAAAAGTTGAGGTGCATCTTAAAATGCATTACCAGAACCGAAACGGCAATAGCCCGACGCACGCCCTTTTAGTTTCCTTTTACTATAATATGTAGCATCACGTAGTAAGAGACCGCATTTATTTTTTATAGATCCCTCTTTCTCATATTACTAACAATTTTTTTTGTAGATAGGCTCCTATGGCCCTGATGGCCTCATACGTAAAATGAATTTGTTTAGTTTTCTTTTAATACAACTATTTATTGTACCCATGTCTTATTTTTGGCAAATAAACGAGGTTTATTTTTGCAGTTTATTGTATAATAAAACATTGTTTTTTACTTGGTAACTTTTAGGTAACTTTTTTTGTCAATTCTGGTCAGAAAATTTATTGTCGTGTGGCAACCGTGGTTTTCACCACTCATTTTTGGTGAAGGTTTTGTGACTCTCTCCTACTGAATAGCCAAATC